TTAATAATAATAAAAGAAAGTAGTGAATACCAGAAAGATATTTACTTGTGTTTTATTGATTATACAAAGGCATTTGACTATGTGGATCATAGCAGATTATGGTTAATGTTAAGAAGCTTCGGAATCCCAGGACACTTAATTGTGTCATGTGAAATCTATACATAGACCAAGAAACAGTTGTGCAAACAGAACAAGAGAAAACTTCACTGTTTAAAGTCAGGAAAAGTGTGTGTCAGGGCTGTTTCCTTTTTCTATGTCTATTCAATCTGTAAGCTGAGTAAAAATTCGAAAAGCTGGGCTATGTGAAGAAAGATATGGAATCAGGATTGGAGGAAGACTCATCAATAATTTCAAGATGATGCCACCTTGCTAGCAGAAAGTGAAGAAAACTTGAAGCACTTGCTGAAGATGATTGAAGACTACAGTTTTCAATATGGATTACATCTTTACATCTCGAAAACAAAAATTCTCTCCGTGAGTCCACTGAGACAACGTCTTAACAGATGGAGAAAAGATTGAAGTTGTCAATTATTTAATCTTACTTATATCCATAATTGACACCATTGGTACTAACAATTAAGAAATCAAAAGATGTGTTGCATTGAGAAAATCTGTAGTCAAGGACTTTTCCAAATTACTACACATCAGTGTTGTCAGTAAGGGCAAAGGTGCAATTGATCCAAGTCATGGTATTTTCAGTTGCTTTGTCGGCATCTGAAAGTTGGACAATGAATAGGGAAGGTTGAAGATCAGGTGCCTTTGAATTGTAGGAATGACGAAGAGTACAGAATATCTCATCGGTTGCCAAAAGAACAAGATTGTGCAACCCCGGTGACCTTGGAGGCAAGGATGGGGAAACTTCATCTTACACCCTTTGGGCATGTTATTAAGAGGGACCAGTCCTTGGGAAAAGTTACCATGCTGAAAAAATTTGAGGGTAGTGCAACAATGAATGAATGGAAATCGAAAATCTCTGTAAAATGTTCATTAAAATTAATAATTTTTTTTTTTTTTAGAAAAGGCCTTTGAAAGGCCATTGCTAGTCTTGCCCAGAATAATCCCAGTGTAGGCCAACATCTTTGAATGCTTGGCTGAGACTGAAGGCCAAGAAGAAAGATTAGGAGACAGGAGCAAATGAAAGGAGCAAAGATGGATTTATTAGAAAAGGTCTGCCCTAAAGGGAAGACCTTTCCTATCCAGAAAGGAAATCATGAAAGAAACAGTGTGCAGTGGGATGAGGTGATATATATGGCTTCCTGATGTGTACTGGATGCTCCTTGGGGCTGGAGACGAAGAGTGGAAAGTTCAAAGTTTGAGAGGTGATTCTTAATTCAAGTCCCCTGTTACATGAAGTCATTCATGCACTTGAAGCACTAATTAGGTTGTTTCCACACATAGACAGCCTTACCACGCATGTCAGGGCCAAGGAGGGACCAGTCCTTGAAGAGGGACATCATGCTTGAGAAGGTGAAGGGATAGCGCAAGAAATGAAGACCCTCAATGAAATGGATTGATTAAGTGACTGGGGTAATGTATCAGGGACAGTAAGATTGGCACTGGATAGAGTAGGGTTTTTAGGGCTGTTGTACATAGAGTCACTATGAGTCGCAGGCGACTCAACAGCACAAAACCAACAATAACAACAATGTAATTTAAAAATTAGAGTCTTAATAACTCTAATTTAATGCTGTGTGGTTATGAGCTATATAACCCAACCCTGGCATATCCAAGTAATCAAACCCAAAAATCAATCCTATATCCCTTTTAACCTACTGTCATGTACATTTCTGTCAAGATGTTTCCCCAGCCCTTATAATCCTGCTTCTAATTTTGGTGAAGTGACCAATCTAGTCATCATTTTCTCTTTTCCTCAATCACATATAGTGAGTTCTTATAAATCAGCAGAATCTTGTGAATAAACAGAATTCACATGCATGCTCACAATTTCCATCATCCTAGATGGCTCTCTTTGTCTTGTTTAAGATTTAATACAGGACCTTTTTAGAATATGCTTGAATCTGTTGTCTTTTTTTTTTACTACAGTGTATGTGTGTTTGTACATGTCAGTATGTATAGGTGGTTTGATTGAAAGTTTACAGAGAAAATTGGTTTTCCATTGATAATTGATATACATTTTGTTTTAGAATGTTAGATACAATCCCTTCACTACAACAGCACTTTGCTCACCTCCTCCTTGGATCCCATTGCCTTTCGCCTTTCTTTCCTGTCCCTTCT